CTGACTTGCCTTGCGGGCGCTGGTCTTCAAATTAACACCAAGAAGTGCCATTTCGCCAGCAGATCTATCAAGGTCCTTGGTCATGTTGTGAGCAAGGACGGAATTCGTCCAGACCCTGAGAAAACTGCTGCGGTGCTTCGCTTCCCTCGCCCTGAGAAGCCGAAAGATTTGCGAAGTTTCCTTGGTCTCGCCTCTTACTTTCGGCGATTCATACAAAACTTTGCCTCCATAGCCGCACCACTCCATAAGCTACTTGCTTCTGGTACGCCCTTTCAGTGGTCTCAGGAATGTGAATCGGCTTTCGACAGGTTGAAGAGTGCCCTCACGACCGGTCCTGTACTTTCTCATTTTCACGATGGTGCACCGACCTTCCTCCATACGGACGCTAGCAACCACGGTTTAGGAGCCGTCCTCCTCCAGCGCGACAACTCTTCGCGAGAGCGAGTCGTTGCGTACGCCAGCCGCGTCCTCTCCGCAGCCGAGAGGAACTACACGGTCACCGAAAAGGAGTGCCTCGCCGTCGTTTGGTCAGTGCAGAAATTTCGTCCCTATCTTCACGGCCGTCATTTCACAATTGTGACCGACCACCACGCTCTATGTTGGCTTTCGACACTCAAGAACTTGTCGGGACGCCTCGGCCGCTGAATTCTACGCCTACAAGAGTATGATTTTGCCATCGTATGCAAGTGTGGCAGGAAACATAGTGACGCCGACGCTCTTTCTCGCTGCCCACTACCAGCGACTCCACTCGGGGTTTCCGCAATCAATTCGCACAACACGCCCTCGGAGTCCACGTCTACGGCGGTTTCTTCTCTCGCCTCTATGGACCAGCTGCCTTCGGACGACCCGCACGATTTTTCTTCTCGACAGCTGGCTGACCCATACTGTCGACGTATTATAGGCTACCTCACTGGCAGTTCCCGTCCACCTAATGCGAGGCTCCGTCGCCAACTCTCGCAGTTTAAGCTGGACAACTCGGTGCTGTACCGCAAAATTTACCATCCTGACGGTCAGCGCTGGGTTCCCGTTCTACCCCGATCGCTTCGGTCCGAAGTCCTCAGAGCACTTCATGACCATCCGACGGCTGGTCACCTTGGTTACCACAAAACCTATGATCGCCTTCGAAGTCGGTTTTATTGGCCAGGTATTACCACTAGTGTAGCTCGGTACGTTGGGTCCTGCACTACCTGCCAATGTAGAAAACTACCCACATCTGCTCCAGCCGGTACACTACAGCCTCTTCCATGCCCAGCCACACCATTCGAAGTTGTAGGCATCGATATTTATGGCCCCCTTCCAGTCAGTGCTGCTGGAAACCGATGGATAGTAACAGCCGTTGACCATTTGACGCGCTACGCCGAGACGGCATCTGTCACTACCGGTTCAGCTTCTGAAATTGCCGACTTCATCCTCCGAGCCATTATACTGCGTCATGGTGCTCCACGTGTATTGCTCAGCGACCGTGGAAGGGCCTTCCATTCACAACTAGTGAACGAACTTCTTCGCGCCTCTGGCACAACTCACAAGACGGCCGTTATCATCCCCAAACTAACGGCCTCACTGAGCGATTCCACCGCACTCTTGCTGACATGATCGCCGCCTACATTCAACCAGACCACAAGAACTGGGATGTAGTTCTACCATTCGTCACTTTCGCCTACAATACGGCTATTCAGCGGACAACCGGCTACTCACCATTTTACCTAGTTTATGGACGCTCCCCTACTTCTTTGCTGGACGTCACCTTCTTTACTTGCCATGCGGATTCATCTCCATCCTCTTCAGAGGAATACGTTTTGCGGCTCGCAGAGAGCCGCCAACGTGCTCGTATAAACACTGAAGCCCGACAGCAAGACAGAAAGCTGGTTTATGATGAATCGCATCGTGCTGTATCCTTTCAACCTGGAGACGAAGTGCTCCTTTTGACGCCTATTCGCACACCTGGTTGTGCGACAAGTTCCAGCCACGATTTATCGGGCCGTACACAGTTCTTGAAGAAACTTCACCAGTAAATTATCGCGTGACGCCACTTGTAGCCCCAGCAGATCGCCGTTATCGAACTACTGAAGTCGTCCATGTCTCCCGTATGAAGCCCTTCATGCGACGTTCTTTGTCCCCTTGACTTGCCGCGGCCAGGCTGGCCGCTCTCACGTGGGGGGAATCAGTGTGGGCATTTATTATACCAATCCTCTTCATCTGTACATTATCATCATTATCATGTATGCTTATGCATCCTCATCGTTGTCACGTATCATCATCATCTTGGTTCGTGCATCTCCGCTGTCGGCTGCCGGTTCCTCGGGCCTAATAAAGGTCTTCCAAACCAAGACTTCATAATATATATATATATATATATATATATATATATATATATTATATATATATATATATATATATATATATATATATATATATATATATACATATATATATATATATATATATATATATATTTGCAGAAAGAATCACAAAGAGAATGTTTAGTATATAATGACTATGGTTTATTTTACATGAATGAAAGAGTAGTCTTCGTTGCGCCTACAATTTTCATACAGAGGTAAATTATCTCCCGACATTACGCAGTATTTTCGCTGGTGCCATTAGTTTTGTACATGATTTCAATATGTGCCGGCAGTCATTCGCGCAGTACGAAGGATACAAAAATATTCGACCTCCTATGCACAATATTATTTGAAACGACGTTCAAGCTACACACAACAATCAAACACTTTCAATGCTCAAACCGACGCTGTTCGCTTGCATCATCACAATAGGTTGCGTGCACATCTGTATTAATCTCTTGTGTGTGGCATGCAGGATATATGATACCTGTTTTACCACCAAGGTACTCTACAAAACAGACTCGCGGTTGTCACACTGAACATGGAACATCACACACACTCAAAACAAGACGATGAAAACTACAGAAGTCGTTTTTAAAAGCGATATAATCTGAATTGAATTCCTTACCTACACGCCTTTATCTCAAATGAATGTGTTACGTACAAGCCTATTGCTCGCTATAATGACTTCATAAATGCGCCGTCGCTCTGTGAATTATACTGCCAACTGCTTACTCTCAAGACTTTGATGCTGCATTGGAAAAAGCGTTGTAACACGCCACGGCGCACATACAGAAGTCAAAACTACACTCGCCTTTAATTCCAGAATGTATTTGTTTACTATGAGACTGTATTTGGAACAAGGAAAAAAGCCAGGTAATGCTTAAGAATTAAGAGCGCTTCTTAGGTGGATTTGTTCGAATGCGGTAATCGCAAGAAGTAAAAAAAGAATAACTATAATGCGGGATGTTTAAATCACACGCTCGGCAATATTTGATCAGATGTATCAGTGTGGCCATGCAGTACTGGCCTAATTATGACATGACCGATTTCAAAGGCGAATTTAGTTGCCTGGAGACGAATTGACCTGGTACGGAAGACGTCATTGGTAATACACTAAAAAAGATCGAGTAAAAAGGGAGTCTTCTTGTCCCACAACAATAATCATCTCTCTTGCGTTATCACCGCGTGCCCGGAACTGCGTGTTATCAGCGTGACATATGTTTCTTGATAAGAAAGTGGCCAGCGCCAAGTTTTTAAGAAAGGAAGCGTAAGCAATGCGGATGGTGATTATTGTTTTGAGAACAGGTCGGGGGACTTTTGGCCGGTTTGAGTCTAGTGAGTGCGGTTGAAGAAAATTTTCGTGAGCGTGAGTCTGAGTGCGTCCGGCTCAGAAAACTTTTGGCGAGTTTAGTCCTAAGCACAAAATATACTCGTGGGTCAATGAGAGAGCTGCACAAGTTTTGCCGACCTAAGGCTGTGGGACAAAAAGACACCCTTTTTATTACTCGATTTTTTTTTAGAGTTTAATTCTTCGGATCTTTCTTTTAAAACCACGATGCTATAATGAGAGAGGTGCAGGGTTCCGTAAACTTTGATAACACAGGACTTTTTAACTTGTATTTGTAAACCTAAGAACACGGGGCTGTAAGATTTTGCCTGCATCGTTGGTGTGACCGGCACAACCGTGGTAGAATCCACGTTTTTCGGTACGGAAAACCTAAGTCCATTGATTAAGTGTGTAGCGCCGCCAAGTCTCTTGAAAGTACACACTTCATCTCTCTTCAGAAGCATCCAGATTCATTTTCACGAACGATTCTCACATTAATCATATTAGTCAAGAACCGTATACGGGTCGTACATAGCTTCGTCCTTTAGTACTTTACACATACCTTATTTCGTCTCTCATTGCGTTGTCGTTCATAGGTATGCCAGACATTTTCTTTCCCAATGACACATACTCTCCATCCGGTATTGATTAACGTATATTTCGCGCCATTTCTCCGTATTGCAACAGTGTTAGTACGAATTCTGAGTAAGCGCGAGAGTAATAAAGCGATATATCTTGCCTTTATTTTGTTGGCATCCGCTTAGACTAACGCGAGAAGATCCTACTTGAATCAGCATTGTTATTCCTCGCAGATAGGAATAATTGGACAGACCTCGATAAACAAGAAACGTTAAAAAAATAGATTATAGTGTTGAAGCAATGTAGATATACAGCACAGACGGACTCATCCAATTACAAAATGTTATAAACACAACAGCAGCGATGCAATGCTTAACAGTTATATATACAGCCTAACAGGTATAAAACAAGACTGCTCAGAACATATATAAACTCTTTTTTTTTCTTCATGAAAGACACAACCTGCTCAAGTTAAGCGATTTAACAAGCCCGTTGTACTTACTTAAATGTGCTTATTACGAACCGTATTACCGAGAAAAAACAGTTACGAGAAGCCACTGTTTCGGTCTGAGGCTTTCGGAAGGGGCCCGAATATTAGCGAAAATTACATAGGCCCCAACTATAGATCTTACTACATTCAGTACCTTCGAAGTGAACATTTAAGAACACCAGCGATTCAAAAGGGATGTCCAGAGAGCCAATGTTTTGACATGAGAACTTGCCTTGAGCAGTTGTTTTCCCGGAAACATTGATTCTATATGTGCAGATCAAAAGATTATGCCCCAAAGGCCACTGAGCCCCCATCGCACACGCAAACATCATCCTTGAAGTTCGTGTGCGCTGCGCCAGGGTGCGCTACGTGAGGGGCTCATTAAGTGCTCGTTCCAAGCTGTTAATGTATCGTTAAAACGCTCACTTGGGTGCGAATAAATTTGTTACTATTATTGATCATAAGCGTATCTGTGAAATCACCATCGAACCCACCATCTCAAAGGCCTCAGGATCTGAGTTTCACCAATCATGAAGCACTGCGGATCACTTGAAGTCACCAGAATATCTGTGAAATATTACTTTGAGAACTCTAAGTGCGTCCTTGATGCAATGGCACATGACCCAATAGCGGTATGTCGTGCACTGTGGTCTCCATGATCACAACTTCTAGTCCAAAGGTTGACTTCAGGTCCGGCGGACTGTAGAGTTCTTTGTCCCTTGAGATTCGGCCCACAGAATCAAAAAAAAGCGCATACACATCGCGCAGTTATTCTTCTCTGGGATCTCTTGAGCCTTGAGTGGTGGTGCTATCCGAAGGATTTGTTAGGACCTTGATCAGCATTGTAAGGACGTCTTGAGCCACTGTATGAGGAGAGGAGTAGAGACAACCCTTTATCAAGAGGCCCAAGTGTACTTGCTTCATTGCCTTGTCGCTACGAAGCGAGCGTGAAAGCATTAAATATGATTAACACGTTGTACGTCGGGCGTTACTAATACAATTCCTTGTTTGTTGTGCCATTTCGTCACGCTTCGAAAATTGTAGGTGGCTTTATCTTCCTTTTCGGAACTGGACTGGAAAAAGTTTTATGGGAAAGCTGCAGATTGATTAGCGACCTAACATATTGACTGTATAGTTGGTATGATTGCATAGTTGGAATGAAGCATTGCAAAAAAACAGAAAATGAAAATGGGGCACCGGGTCAACTGAAGCAAAGTTAAATAAATAAAAAAGTGTTTCTGTTCCCACACGCAAGGAAGCATATAAGCGTAGTTAATATTGAAAGTAGGGAGAAGCCTCATCTTAGTACTTTTGCGCCGTTCATCTTACGGCCACAGTTGCTTTGAAATGTGAACAAACGCGACATGTGACTATCTTTTTTAAGGTATTGTTAAACGCTTGCAGATCTTTCTTACCTCTGCAAGTGTCATCTTGACAAAGCCATTTTGAAGAGGATCTTTCTTCTCAAACGTTGCTACAAAATAGAATAAAAATAAACAAAGAGAAACAGTAAATAATTTTTAATCATTTTAGGTTATACCGCTTTATCATGTCGATGTTGTATATAAAGCAGAAAACATTTTCACCTATACTAAATGTATTAGTCTGAAAAAGTTGTGTGTTGTGTTAAGAGAAAAAATAGGAACAACATGCACCTATTACAAAGCCAGTAATACAACAGCTACAGCGTTGTACAAGAGAAATCTTAATCATACCCGTTACTTGCAATAAAAAACCACGAGCTTTCGTTTAAGCACAAAGTTGAGTGGCATGAATGACATCGACAATATTGGGGTCATGAGCGCGTTGCCTCCGCGGTTTTAGAAGAACTTGATAGGCTTCGACCAGCGAGGCAGCCGGGTACCTACCGAAGGCGACGGACAGGTGAAGAATGCAGGAGACGAAGTCTCCGAACCTCAGCGTGCCGTCTTTCCTCATGTACCTCAGCATCAGCATCGAGAGAATATCCGTGTTGAGCTGAAAACCTGCGGAAATGAAATGGCACATCTCCTCGTCTTTAGAGGACATTATATAGTGAAACCTAATCATGGTCCACGTATACCAAAACCTTGAAGATAACATGAAGCTGATTGCTGCAAACCCTTGGAGTATTCGACGTAACGATGACGAATGCCTACGTTCATCTAAACATTTACTAACCTACATCCACAATGGCATCGCGCAGTTTCTCGGCCCTCAGAATTCCTGCCGTGCCACGTGTGTGCTTCTTGAAAGTGCTCTGCCAGTACTTCAGACTGCACATGAAGTTCTTATACTCCTGGTACCGAAGCCTTCCCAGACCGGTTGTCTGATAAGTAGGGCGTCAAGGACAAGAGCGTACCTGGTTGGATGCTGCTCATGAAAATTTCTGCGTAGTTTCAGCCAAAAGAAGCCTTATTTCGTATTCGGCGTCAATTGCAGCCGTTACAACATTTTGAACCATTTCTGGATTATTAAATGCTTTATTTTGTGCTCGTCTCCGTCATGAAAAAAAAGGGGGCACGCGATTTCTGTAAGCACATTTAATACCTGTGTGTGACATTATGCATCCTCACAATACATATACACAACACAAATAAATTTAGCGTTTCGGAAGTAAACTGGCTTTGAAAAATCAAAGGATACATCGAGCGCCATGACGACTTGCCGGCAAACCTCCAATGTTGCGCAGCTCTTGACATAATCTGAAAAGGCAGAAAAACATGTAGCGAAGAATGAGAAAGAGCGTTATTAAGCGGTGCTAATACAACACAGAATATGGCGAAAGTTTTGATTGATTGATTGATATGTGGGGCTTAACGTCCCAAAACCACCATATGATTATGAGAGACGTCGTAGTGGAGGGCTTCGGAAATTTCGACCACCTGGGGTTCTTTAACGTGCACCCAAATCTGAGCACACGGGCCTACAACATTTCCGCCTCCATCGGAAATGCAGCCGCCACAGCCGGGATTAGATCCCGCGACCTGCGGGTCAGCAGCCGAGTACCTTAGCCACTAGAGCACCGCGGCGGAGCATATATAGTGAAAGTGTGCTCTGCACTTTTCACTTTTATTCTATTTACCGTTGGAGATGGCGCTTGAATTTTACACTAACCCAGAACGAGTAATATCATATAATGGCGTTCGAGAGATATCTGGCCTCCGACCTAAAATAAATTTATTCGTAGATTAGAATGGATTTCAGCGTGCGGTTGTATTGGGGTTAATGAAAAATTAAAATGTCTGAAATTACAGAGCGATTCTTTCCAATAATTTAATATATCGCGCATGTTTTATACCCGCATACGTTGCGAAGTTTTTTATGGTATCGCGCTGTATCTACAAAGCTCGCCGTAGGTATACGATTGATCCGATTGGCAATACTGGATCACTTCGAACAATTTCTGGAAGTGTGCATGATTCACGGCGAGAATAATCTGCGCATATAACCATCAGTTATATGCGGTATAAACATAACGAAAGCGCTGGAATCGAAGCAGGTACGAATGGCACGGGGAAAGAAAACACGTCACGCGCACGTTGTGACTTACGCACGTTTTCTTTTTCGAATACGCGGCTTTTTAGTGCGATCGCGTGCGCACGCATGGACGAATCGCGGCCTCCCGCAGGTGGCCCCTTCTAGCGCGCCATGCTCAAATCAGCCAATGGCTGATGCAATGGCTCTGACGGGTGTATTTTGAGCTTGTAGCGTCATTTGTCGAGAGAAGAGAAAGCAATTTTTATCTGACTGATAATTTAATGTGAATTCCGGGCCACGTGCTGCGCTATAATATTTGGCTCACGTGTTGTCGGGAGCCTCTATATCGATCAAAAGCATTTTCTGACCATGCTCAAAAAGTGTTGCGAGGCCCCTTAAAGTATATAGTATAACGTTCTGAATATTTTTTGATGTGTACATCTATATATAAGATCTTTTTACTCGGATATAAATAACACACTCTCTCATAGGGATCCCTTCCTAAATTCTGAGTTCCGGACTATAAAAATTACATGCACTGTATTATTAAACTTTTCCATGAATAATATATTGGCCAATCTACTGATGGACGGACGGACAAGCAGAATAATTAATTAATTATTTAATAAATATGCTATGAATACCACACACCAAATTAATTGTATGCGCAACCGTGAAAGTTTTCGCGAATACATTTCGTGAAAACTTATTTCGCGATTCGTACTGACTGAAAGTAGGCACACCATTCGGGAGACAGGCTTCCAGCAACTCCTGCAATTCGAAGCAGTTGACCGAAGAGTGCTCGTCCGCAACTTGTAGGAAGACAGCCTCGTACGAGCTGATCTTGCTGTCGAACGAAGGCGGAGCCTGCACGATTGACGCATATATAAACAACAGTGTCAGAAAAAAGTCTATGTAGTTACCAACGTGAGCTAAAGTATAGCCAACGCATGCAGCACGCTCGTATAGTTAAGGCATGTACAGTGGCGGTCAAAATTTTGCGGACCGCGGGTAAAGCGAGCCAGAAGAGCACCGTGGCACCTATACTGACGGTTGCCTGCGAAGCTCGAGAGCGCGCTACCTTTTTTTTTTACTTGCCAGCCTGCTTGTTCACTCTCTTCAGTAGTGCGCGACTAGTAAAGCTAGAATCAGCACAGAGTGCCACTCCTGCGATCGTTACGAAGACACAGATTCATGATATCGCACCAAAAAGACTTAGATTTTACTGGCAGTGCTCTGTCTGTACCACTATCTGCGTCTTGGTTAGTCTCTTGCTTCGTTCGTTAGTCTGTATAATTTCGCATACATCTGAATCCGGTATCTGCGCTTGGGATCAAAACCACGTCTACTATGTCCACAGCCGACCGCATTGTTGAGTTATGCGTGGTGATCCGGGATCGCCAGTGTACGAAAGCCTCCCAGTGCGAGCAGCGTGCGGGAACTATTTGAAAATACTTTTTTGTGACTTTTTGCTGGATCATGGTGGACGCGCCGTAACATTGTGAACAAAGCGGATTATCTAAGGTAGTAGCAAATGATAAGTAATAATAGGCGAGTCGCTGTTTCTCTTTATAACTGGTCATAGTGACCTCAAGGTCAAACGTAATAATAGTTTCTTTATTGTTTCATTTTTTTATCACGAACAGACACCGGAACTTGAGGCGCCAGAATTCCGGCAAAGTTTCCAAGATTATCGTGGAGCCATGCGCACTTTTAAAATTGCATCACGTCGAAAGTCCTGTGGAACGCACTCTTATATATACACGTGAAAAAGACCATCCGCTGCTTACCCGACCATAATATTTTTCCCAAGTGGTATACCTCAAATGTGCACACATAGGCCCGTAATCGCAAACCAACCTCGGCTTTAGCTCACGTTTTCCTCAACTTCCTGTACTCTCTACATACGTTATAAAGGCACAAAAATGGTAACAGGGCGAAAGATAAGGACAAGGCTGGTTTATTAATACCGGTCCAATTTGTTTGTCATGCGCAATAAAAGTTTAAAGCTAATAAGAAAACCTCGAGAACAGGTTGAGGTTGGTTTGTGAATAAGGGCCATGTTCCGCTTCGTTGAAGGTAAAAAACCTGAAGACACTGCGCCGGCCAAAGTAAAAGTTTAAAAAAACACAGAAAAAAAGACGTTTCGGCTCCCACACGGGAGTCTTATTCACGCAGGTTTTAATTTCGCTTGTGAACTAGGCTCCCGTGTGGGGAGCCGAAACGTCTTTTTTCTGTGTTTTTTTTTAAAGCTTTTACTTTGGTCAGCGCAGGGTTTTCATGTTTTTTTACCTTCAACCATGTATCATCCCGACCAGACGGGCTTCCGTCAAACTTTAAACTTTGCATATTCCGCTATATACAAGGTGCCGGTTCTAGCTGAGTGGTCATATGAAGTTAAAATACAAGCGTCTGATGCAGATAGGCAATCAGCTACCCTCACAAAAATTTACGAAGCATATTTGTTCGAGTGCTTTTCACGCATTAAAAACATGCAGAAGCTAAAGGTGATGATCCTCCTTACCTTCATTATCGCCGGCTTTACCGTGCTCGGCTGATTGTCGATGAGCCTACGACGAGCGGAGAAATAAACAGTTGTAAGCGATACAGTAAGTGCGTCAGCTAAAGCGAAGAAAACCAAGTCACACATATTTTTCTTTTTCGTGTTTAAATTGTGGGAGGCTGAAATGGCTGACAGGTATAACCCTGCTATAAGTCCAGCCGCATCCACTCACTTTAGCTTTGTCGGTTTTCCCGAGAACACCCGCAGCGTGAAAGAAGCTTCTTGGCCCAATTCGAAAGTGGTCGGGAGCAGTACGTAGCCTCCTTGCTCCATGACACACCTGACGGACACCTGTGAGCATACGAGAAATGCGGGGTGCTTGTGAAAACGTTCACACTATAGTATATGCCATGCTGCCATTACAGCGTGTAGGCAATTAGTGCACTGTATAAGGTGTACATGTGCATGAACTTGTGTATAAGTCTACACATCATACATACATACATTATACAATGGCGCGTATGCACGAGCAGTAAGTCACATTACTTGAGAGAGCACGAGACACAAGAAAAAGCTGACTATTGCCAGCGCTTGGACAGGCAGCGTTGAATTTAAATGTTCAGCGTGTTCTTAAAGGGCCCTGATGACATGTAAAGTTAAACCGCGAATACAGTTACCAATTGCCGGGAAACTCAAAAAATTTGCTCAGACCTATTGGTTTCTAAGTTTTGGCGCTGACTATACACACGCGTCGTACGCCGTGCTAACTTGTTGAAAATCAACAAGTATTTATGTGCAGTAACCATCAAGGCAGCTGCACGCCACATGGAAGGAATTTTCCAAGCGGTCAGCACTGAGAGGCATTCCGAAATCGAGCACTAACAATGATGGCCACCGGCAAAACCACCTTAGACGCTGCCAGTTCTGTACTTTGTCTGTGACACAGATACGCAAGAAACCAACATGACACCTCTGTTAGTTGTGCAGATGGTGTTTCGTCATTTTCATACAAGGCACACTGGATCGACGAAGGACATATATACAGATCGCTCTGCACTAAAGAAGCGTCCGCCCCTGCGGTATCTTATGTACAAGAACTTGAAAGACAATAGATTGTATAAGTTATCGCACTAATCTTCGTTAATAATATTGGAATCAGTGGTTGCTTTCAAAGCGGATAAGTTTATCTGTGACAATTCTAAAACGCGGCACTGGATATATATGTATACGGATAGCAAACCGCCCTCCAAATACTAAACGCCAGACCCACCTTCCAAAAGTGGCGAAATAGCTCAGTGTATTTGCATAACTGTGAAATATGCCTTAACACAGGATCGCGTTATCGTATTTCAATGGGTACCTGGTCACATTAAAATGAATGGTGATGAAAACTTAGACAGACTCCTAAAAACAAATCACCAACGATTATGATACTGCCTAACGCGAATTCTGAGCGCGACTTCATGTTCGAAGGCCAATTGTGTTCGAAGTGTTGGCTTTCCGCTACATGTCGACTATGCCACAAATCATAATTGTTGTGAAGTAGGACAGGCACGCTCTACGCCATTATTCGTATTTCTACATAAAAACGAGGTATACCCGCTACACACCTGTGAGGTATCATATGTACTTATAGTTAACACTGCATGTGACTGATGGCGATGAAACATTTCGGCTCAGAATTTCGCAGCGGGTGGGACCACACACTCGTTGCGCAATCTGCAATGTGTGATGACTGCAGTTGTTATTTTACTCTCATGCCAGCTACATTGCATAGGTTAACGCGATTCACTGCCCGACGTGACGCCTGCATAGGGTATTTTAGAAAACGAGTCTAAAGCACTGGCGTCGCCTAAATAAGCGCTTCTGAAGATCAGCTACAGGTTGCTAAATACGGAATGATGTATTAGTTCATACACCGTGGGAAGCACCAGAAATTGTTCCCGCGGACTTTTTATTGCCATGTCAACTGGTGCAAACGAAGTGTACACCACCAGATGTACTAAATTGTGTCTACGTGATATCGTCTTTCACTTAACTCTTCCTTGTTTATTTTTTAACTGTTCGTTTTTATTTTGGGTAACGCTTTTTTTATTACTTCAGAGCTTATGGAACTGAAGTATCCGCACCTCCGACGTATACAGTATACACCTCAACCTCTCCTCAACAAGCTGCTTAAAACAGCACACAACAAAGCCTCGTGACAGATTCATGGCACTTGTTCTTAGATGAGTTTCAATGTAACGAAAATTGCGGTTCTTAACTTGCACAAACACCGCAGTACATTTTAAACCTTAGACGTTGTCAGATATTCGCACTGAGAAAAAAAAAGAAGCAGAGGTATGAATGAATGAATGAATGAATGAATGAATGAATGAATGAATGAATGAATGAATGAATGTCAGTACCTGCTTGCAATTACTGTACTGGGAACTGAGTAGTGACTTGTTCTTCTTGAAGAAGGCTTTGTCGAGGGCTTCGTTCGGTGGCTTCGGCGTCTGCGCAGTTAACAAAGAGAAGGATGGTGCTCGAAGAAAACATGCAATATTTCTGCGATGTCTGTACTTACAAGATTTTTTGTCGGACAGTGATCCTAATGTTTCTTCTTATTTTTTGGTAGACTAGAACAGAAATAGAACTTTACCTGCTCCCGTATACGATCCACAACTCCACATACATTACGGTGGGGCCAGAATCAATTCACTTGTCAATCAACGAGGAGATTTCTTTGTTTAACATGTACCGGATTAAAAAAAGAACACACAATTGGCGCCGAATTCAAAAATTGGCAGTCTCTTCTATTTTAACGTTGCTTCGCGCATTCAACGCCGATGCGCGTCTATGTCGACATTGAGGAGAGACAAAGCAGGAAGAATAAATGAGCGGGAAATCGGGGGAATGCGCCAGAGCCAGAAATGCGCAGCACTAACCTGGTAAATAGTGAATCCCATCACTTTCGGCTCAATTACGGCATCTTGACTTAAAGAAATGACTACTTCTTCCGATTCGGACAGGATCAACTGGAACTGAGGATTGATGTGAAAAGTGTCTGGAATAAGAAGGTATAGATACACTGATCAGTTCGCGAAGAAAGTCAGAACGAGTACAACTAAAGAAGCCTCAGTGTAGCAGCGTGAAATACAAATATGATTCACGATATTCAAGTATTTGAAAGAGCTAAACAATGTTACATTGCTAGCGAAATATATTTGAACATCCAAGAGTGATCAGCCTTACCTATGAACATAAACGACGATCATCTTGGCTGCTACAATGACGCAGCCAAATACATCGAAGAAAATTAAGATTTCGGCATGCCACGCATTTTTCCGCGGCTGCTCGCGACATCATGCACATTTCACAGGCAGAGCAGGCCAACTAAAGAATGAATGAATTGCAACTTTATTTAATAAAGTCTGGCAGTTTTCACGGGGCGAGATGGGGGAAGAGGGGATTAACCCCTGTCCCTTCCCACTGTCCGTCAGATTAAGATTATGACTATGATTATAAAATTTAGAGCCACCTTTCACACGTATACAGCGCACTTATCGTTTCTTCCGATTATTTATCCATCTTTAACATAAATGAATGAGAGATAATCATTTCTGAGGCTGATTCTGGTCCGAATTGAGCAGCCACGGCGGAGTCTGTTAGATTCATTCGTACTTTGCACGGAGGCTCCTTTATACGTTCGCTGAGACCGGCGGTCTAAAATGATTGTCTCTCAGTCGGTCCTTGGAGGGGAGAGGAAGCAACGCGATAGTCTTACCGGTGTTGTTGCGGCACCCTCCGGCAGTGACGCCCTTTTGCCAGTGTCCTTTCCAGACCTTCATCTGCCAGGGCGTCTTGCTCGCGCAGGCTGAGCTCGTCGCGACTAGTCTCGCTGTCAAGGTGCACCACTTCGAGAGAGGTGAACGTCTTCATGAAGTCCTGGTACGACATCCTGCCGCGGAGAAGAACGGCAGATAACCGTCAGTCCGCGGTTCCACTATATCGCGTCGAATCAGGCTGAGCGGTAAATTTAGGAATTCCAAAGCTGGTAGGGATAACAGGTACACTCGCTAGTTTATTCGAATCACCGTCGTCAGCCTGACTACGCCCACTGCAGGACAAATGCCTCGCTCATGTTCCGCCACTAACTCGGTCCTGTGCTTGCTGCTGCCGCTTTATACCCGCAAACTTCCTAATATCATCTGCCCACCTAACTTCATGTCTCCCCCTAGCTCGCTTGCCTCCTCTGTGAATCTAGTCAGTTACCTTTAATGACCAGCGGTTACCCTACCTACGTGCTATATACATGCCCGGTGCATGTCAATTTCTTCCTCTTGATTTCAACTATGATATCCTTAACCCCGGCTTGTTCCCTGATCCACTCTGCTCTTTTCTTGTTTCTTAAGGTTACGCCTATCATTTTTACTTTCCGTCGCTCGCTGCGTCGTCCTCAACTTAATCTGAACCCTCTTTGTAAGCCTCCATGTTTCTGCTCCGTAGGTAAGTACCGGCAAGATTCAGTTGTTGTATACCTTGCTCTCGAGGGATAGTGGCAATCTACTAGTCATGATTTGAGAATGCTTGCCAAACAAACTACAGCACCCGAACTACATAGCGAGACAAGCACACGTGCATGGTTAATATCTACAATGTATTATCGGGCAAGGGGAGACAAGAATATAATATAAATACAAAAAACAAAAAGTAAAAAAAACAAAAAGCGTGGCAAACTAAATATATTCATCGAAATGGAAACAGCAAACAAAATAAATAAGGCTTCTTGTATCCCATCGCATAAACCGATGTGCTTAGAGCCCATTACAGATAACGTCCGGATCACTGAAATCACTCGCATACAACTCTCCATTGAGATGCACCTAAAAGCGGAGGGCAATGCAGCCACCACCACGGTATAAATGAGGTTGTCTAAACTGTTTGTACTCACCAAAACTCTCCTTCCGCAGGGCTCTTGTAGTTTAGTCTTTCTTGCTCCTCCGGCGGAACCTTGTCCCACTCCAAGGAGCTGGGGTCAGGACAATTCGAGTTGTGTTATCATAACCACTGATTTCTTTTGAGTTTACTCTGATGACTTTACGTTGCGTTTACTACTTTCTCCTTTTTAGATATCGCGACGTTTAGTTCGAACGTACGTGAACGTGCGTTCAATCAACAGTTTTCCGATTCCCTCTCCATGATTACGTTCTGCTCCGTCCTGTAAATTAACTTTTTGCTCTGTGAAGCAGTATAGCTAATCATTTTACATCACTATCACTGTTTTTTTTTTTCAATGACTAACATGCGCTTTTGAGCGAAGTGGAAATATAAAGCATGGAATCACGAAATCCTCAGCTTCAGTACAACAGCTTACGTCATATGCATTGCTAATAAAAAAATGGCTAACAAGTGTTAAATTATCTTGTATTGTCACTTCAATGTTTTCAGCAATTGTCTTTACATGAAAATTAACTTTTGTTCTTTAGGCAAACGTTCCTTGAATGTTTGCTGTACAGATAATTTTCCAGACCAGCATATTCGTCCATTTTTATAAGCATTTAGTTTCTTGTAAGTACTGCCTTCCCAGCAAAACTGTTGCTTTGCGTAGCTAGAGCTGATATATTAATTTATTTGACATCAGTGAACTTAGGAATTTTCAGGTTATATACATTTACGCACTGATAACGCTGATAATCGTAACTAACTCACATGCCAAGGATGCAACATCCCTTATGTTCCTCATTTTTGATACTGTGAACATATAATTTTTCCCGACGCTTGCTCTAACTTTTTTTCTTTCGTGCTTCATTTAACCATTTAAACATTGATATGTTAGAGTTCCCGGCTATTTCTGTAACATGAATGTAATATATAATTTTTCTAACCTTTTAATCTCGTACTTTTTTTAATCGCCAAGTACCGGCACAGCGTGGTTTTTGATTTCTCTAAAGAGTCTGTGAATTTCGTTGTCTTATACCTCCAGCATGTAAAATGTGATCGTAAATGTTTTGGAAGTCTATTCTATGTCAATTTTCATGCATGCCATGTTCCGTGTACTTTTACAAAGACCAACTTATATTAAAAATAGACACACGTAAATAAAAAAAAGTCTGTTACGTCAGAGAAGTGGCGTGAGTGGTGACGACCATAAGCTGATGGATGGTACATGGGAATTAGTTCATAACGAACATTTAATACAATAGCTTGAAATTCTTCCGAAATATATTGCATTTGTCTAGCACAAGAACTGTTGCACTATGCGTTTCTGCATACCCCAGATGCTCATGTGCTTACTCTAACGACCAGCTGCCGATGTAGTCAGCGCCTACTCCGAAAGGATTCCTCAACTTCACGAGCTGCACTTGTTCGCCTCCTGCTGTGGTCACCTGCAAAATGGCGTCACGCGGGTTGACTCGTCAATGCATGCATCTAATAGAATGTTTAAAACACAAAATAGTACCTGGCACAAACAAGATGATCCAATAATAGCGGACGTACTCACTATGCACGCATACTCATTGATTCAAATGAAATAGGAAAGGACCACATCAGATGTTTTAGTATACCTCCGGCTCGCCAAGTAAGCTGAAGAATAACCTATTAAAATAGAGGTATGAAGTGAAATTTCAATCATTCTTTCAACACGGGTAAACTGTTTGCAATATAAACACTGCAACTGGAATGAAACATCGTTTTGCGATAACTTTATACGCATGCAGGGGTGATGAAAACAAGAATTTACAAAATTGGGTAGTTAGAAAGCTCCAGAGAACATCACTAAAACTTCAAGTTACACAATTTATAACGTAAATACATTTGATAAAAAACTCAATCGCGTACTTTGGTGTGTATACTTTCGCCTTCGTAAACTTTTTTCGTTTTACTAATAATTAAATTTGTTATGTTTTCCCAGTTGAAGTTTGGGTTCTTGAATTCAGGTTTTATACAATATATGATGTAATCTAGAATGGGGACTTCGTTTCCTTGGGCCTTTAGTTTAAAGACCGAGAACTATGGAACTCTGGATAACAGCGAGAGATATTCGCAAGCATGGCGTATTCTAATTTCTGAGCCCTGCAATATTCGGTAACCATTGTGAAAGTTTCTGGAAATAAAGCTTAACCAACTCTTTTCCCCATATTTTGGTGTGAAAGTTGTTTAATGCAAAGTATTTAATCGAGTGCAGTGCCGCACGTGCAACCTTGAAGTCATGAGCTGGCTCGTCCTACTCGTATCAGCATCTCACTGAAACTGCATGAAAAATGAAAGCAAAATAACGTCGGCTTGCCCCGTATACCTTCTGAAATGACAGTATCCTGTAGTTTGTGCCGAGCCAAATTCCATTCGCCATTTTCTCTGGTGATGTCCTCGACTGAAAAGAAAGAAAGTAAAATCAAAAATCAAACTTAGGCTACGTGTATATATATATATATATATATATATATATATATATATATATATATATATATATATATATATATATATATATATATATATATATATACTCACGTTTGCCGAATAGTTAGCTAGCGTGTTCTTACATATACAACGTTGTCGCCGCGCGCGGGGCACCATTGCGATACACTTTTTCATCTTCTCGTTGTTTAGCGGACACCGTCTAAACCTGTCGGTGTGTTGAACATGCGGTGGTACATGCGTTGCACGTATTTATCTAACGCGAGAAATAAGAATATATTATATCCGGCTTTATACATAATTCAGACCTCTGCAAGCAATTTTCCTGTGCTGTACCCATGTATAGTCTAATTAATTGCCGCACCATTGGTTATGTAGTTGAGTGAGTGAAACAACTTTATTGACGATCCGGCATAAAGGGGGAAGGGGTAGGGGGATTAAAGCGAGACACTAGCGTGCTCGGACGTCCCGGAGCAGCAACCTACTCGCGTCAAACCCGTGGGGGCGCCGCTTTCGGCCGCTGGCGTTCCAGGATGCTAAGCACGTGCTGGACCACGTCTCTTTGATTGCCTGGGACTCGGCTGATGATTTTGCTGCTTACGGCAGTTGGCATTACTTCTTGGTTACCCGGCGGTGGTGCACAGTCCCAAAGGAGGTGTCTCTGGGCGGCTCACGCGTTCTTGCAGTGTTGGCATACATCAGTGGTTCCCTGCGCACGCCGGGGAGCTGGACGTGGGCCCGAACCGCAACGAGGAGGCAGATACGGAGGCACACGCGCTAACTAGCCGCGGGTCTCTGTCAACGCATTCCTCGGAGCCGCAACGACCCGATGCCGAAGACGGAGAGTATTTTATCACAACCTACGCCGACGTTCTGCAGTGGTGCAGAACGAGCAGACGCCTCTACCCACCGCCTCACCGAGACCTACAACGCAGAGAAGCAGCCACACTACGGCAGTTGCAAGTACAAGCCATTTGGACCCCCGTCTGGGCAAAGCACGTTTGCCCGGAGGTTTACACCACTGGTTATGTAGTTGTAAGGCCTTCGACCGATGTAGTACTCGAAGCAACTTCTATTGTAAAAACTCGATCCTTAAAGAAATTAACTTCTTATGGCGATTATACAGCCACGGCCCCACAACAACATCGTCGTCTTCATTCCTTCTGTGTTATTTCTGCACCCGTGCCTGAGGTACGATGTTGTTGTAGGGCCGTGTCTGAACTGCCCTCTGGTCCTGCATCCTTGCATACTGTGTGCAGTGTTAGCCCACCCGGCGTTCACCTATTAAATACTCCCCGTTACAATATGTACACTCTCGATGGTGTTTTCCGTTTATTTAGTTTACTGCAAAGTTTAGTAGTTTCTGAAGTACAAGCACTATACCTGTATTCAGAACTACTTTGTGGCTGCATCATCATAGTGGTCGTTGCTTTCGGATCAATGATTTCGACTACTAAATACAGATGTATAGCTGAGAAACAGTTCTTCCGGAATGTATGCCAGAACTGAATCAAGCACGAAGGAGTAGCAATAATAAGCTGTAACCAGCGGCTGCCACGTGCAATGACCGTAAGGCTCCAAGAGGAGGAGGAAGACGTAATAGGAGCTTGTGGGCACGTTGAAACGATCAAAACAAAAAAAAAAAACGCCAAACAGCGCAACGACACGGCAGCGAACTTTCCTCAACCCGGTATTGCTTACACGCCGCGGATGCTTCTGCCTCCATTGCTTCCGTTCGCGGAATCATGATTAAAACATGCGACCCGGCGATGGCAGGCCGGCCAGCGCGGAGCAAGCCGCGCAGAAACCGCCATGCTGGCTTGCGCCTCTCGCGTTGCCAAGACCCCTTCCTTCCAGTGCAGTCTCGCGGCGCCAAACTAGCGGTGCGCCTCTTCCTCGTGCGCTCTGGAAGCGTGCTCCGAATGCGGTCGCACACGGGTGAAACAAGGATGCGCATGGGACCCGATTGCGATATTTTCTTTCGTGTACTTCTCACCCTGCCACAATCGATGCTGACGCAGGGTTACGCGAGTTGAGACACTCCGCCCTACACGGGCTCTTCATTATGGCAGTTGCGCGTAATCATTTGAAACCAGGAAAACTTTCCTTGACACACATTGAGAGCGTCAACAGAAACCACTGCGATAATCTGGAACAAGAGGACGCATCGTTGTTTTCTACCTATGTTTACGCGCGCTTATAAAATTTAAACTGCAGCGTTGGTTTTAGTTATTGAGTACTTTGGATTAATAGGAGCTTAGGGATTGGGTAGTGCGGATTTATTGTGACCATACGGGGGTAATTTAACGTGCGCTCAGAAGACGGTACACGAACGTTCTAGCGTTCCGTCTACATCAGAATGCGGCCACCTCGATAGGATCGGAATTCATGACCGCATGCTCCGCAGGGCAACACCATAACCACCGCGGGAGCTAACGTGCTTCCCATCGTGTTACTGCAAGAAGACGCAAGTGAAAAAAAAAAACATCCAAATGATGGCGCCACCGTGGTTGTTACATAATACTGCACAATGTCATGCCGATATACAAACACGAAAATTTTCCGTTGCTTCGGAGGTGTACATCGCGCCGGCGATTATATGTCGTAAGAAAACAGCCTAGGTTTCATCACAGTATTGTATTTCATCACAGTATTTCACTGTGATTTCATCACAGTATTTCACTTTCACGTGAAAACTGAATCAGCAATTATTTGAACCGTGATGGTGCACCGTGTATAATATTCCTTCAGGTACGCCGTCTTGGAAATAGGGAATCAGTTGTTTCTGCTGGCTGCTGCAGTGTTAACAGATCTACCTTGGAGTATAGCTGCTATGGGTAGAAAGAGAGAGAGAGATAGACCAATTTTAATGAAAAGCAGGGAACTTAGCCGGCATATATAAATCGCTGACTTGCTACTTTGCGGGGAAAAGGGTATTGAGGATTGAAAGTACAAATATGGAGAGAGAAAAAAAAGACAAAATGTAAAGATATCAAATATAATGAAAAAAGAAAGGGAAAAGTCATCTCTTTGACCATTGATTGAGGACGCGCATTAATAGTTTTTTCGTGGTGTCAAGCTAAAACTAGAGGTGGTCTAGCTGACCGATGCTGTCGAAGTATGCGAACAAAAGTTTCACGGGACAAGCTGGTGCTTGTCCCGTGTACTTCATTCAAATATAGCGCACAGCAGAGCCGCGAGTTCTTTCTTCGTGACGTAAGCCTGGCAGTGTTTATCACTAAAAAGAAATGTTCATGTACCCACGACAACCCAGACCAACCCCATCTGAATATGATTATACATGTATATAGGATGTACTGCACGAAAGAATGGAAATTGTTCGAGGGGCTATAGTTTTATTGTTAGACACAAGAAATGAAACCAACAAACTATTATGCTAAGAAAAGTGTAAAGGACTTTTTTGTTGCATTTAATTGCAGTGTAATGATTATAACCTAAATCGAAAGTAATTAATGTGGATTAAAAAGGAGTCTATTTGACGTAGCTCGATTGGTAATATTGACTGTGAAATACCACTTGAATTATTGTGAGTGAAATGGGCTCTTCAGTTTTACGAACTTTCTTTAAATCCTCAGTGAAAGCGGAGGAGGAGGAGGAGGAGGAGGAGTATTCGTTGTAGAGGAAGAAGCCTTGATGAGCCGTAGGAAAAAGTGAACTGACCGTTTCGGAGTGGGGGGGAATCCTCTTCTCACTTACAACGACATTCTTCGTCACTATAGGAACGTCCATCGCACTCACAGCGCCCCACCGCCATCTTTCTCGTGAGAGGAGGCAGCAGCGTTTCGCCAGCTAGAGACTAAAACATTCCCCAATCTGGTATCAATTCATAAATTCTACCTGCAGTGCTATTCAGACCGTTGCCCCGGCTGTGTAAACTCTCCCACGATCTTCCATGTCTCGATCGAGTGCACTGCGAACGTCTTTCCTCCCTTACCTGCTTTCCTTCACCCTTTACGCAACGAGGAGCTGTGGGTGATGCTCTCCGCGATGGACCTCCCGGGGTCCTCCGAGCTGTGATACAGCGGGCCCGACTCGTCGCTGTAGTCGTCCTATAAGGACCCCGGACTAGGGGTTCCTCCTACGCCCTCCTTCTCCATGCATTTGTGAATAAAGACCTCTCTCTCTCCTCTCCTTCGTTGCCATGCAGAGTGTTGTGTCAGAAAAGGTGTAGGAGAACTTGGGCACAGTAACTCAGCATGAACTCAGCAGATCTATATCTGCACAAGTACAGCATAAGGTTGGTACATTTCTAAAAAAAAAAAACATGCTTAACAAGGAGAGATTCAGATTCAAATAAGCAGCATTGCAAATGAAATGGTTTGCAGTCCATTTCAACTACTGATGTTTTCTTTAGCTCGTGATAACAAGTTACAGCACTAGTGATTTCGGCTCGGCGAACTTTGACTCTAAGAACATTTTACCTGAGACCCCTTAAAGTTCGTCTCTTGCGTATACCACGAGGAAAGCAGAACCGCCATGCGAATCTACGGCACTTGACATCGACAAGCAACAACAGCCCACGACGTGCTTTGGCGTGTTACTCACCTGTGTGTGCTGTTGCTGAACGACCGCTGTGACGAGTGTGGTGCGGGCGAGGAGCGAGCCGGCCAGCGTTCGCGCACAGCCACTCGGGTCCTCGCGAATGTTGAGCGTCTCTGTCACGCCGCCCGTTAAGTCGGCCAGCCCGTCCAGACTGCAGCCGTACTTGAGGGCTTCGTACGATCCATACAGTCTGCACGCAAACAAGAACAAGTCGTGAGGGGCGACGTAATAGTTCGCTGGTAATCCCGCTCGTTAGAACGGTAAACCTGTCGCCGCTCTGTCAAGTGGGTCAGAATATGTCACGTTCCAGCAGTTTCATCCGATGGCGGTCGTTGTTCGCTGTAGCCCGAGTACCTTACTGGGCGGACAAACCATGCTGCAGCACCTCGAGATCATGCACTATGTTACTAGCTTTACTCTTGGTAATGTACACGAGAAAAAAAATAAAGGTGTTAATATAAACGTAAATTCGAGAGAAAGGCATTATCATTACGTCAGGGTGTGTGAAGTACACCATAAATTAAAAAGAAAATTAGCGAAAGCGCCACCAGTGGCGGCGAAGGCATGGGCCTTGATGGTGTAAGCGCGAGACGCCATCTGGAGCTATCTATTTAATTACTTACACACAAACCCCCATTTACTGGCACCTGGGCTGCATTTATTGCAGCGCACATGTCGTAGGCTTAATTCATCTCGAATCAATAGATCTTCCGCAGCTGACGGTTCTATTCGTAATGCAATAAAAAAAAATCTTATGGGCAATCTATAGAGTGAAATTGATTCGTTTTGGTTCGACAGCAATTTTTTTTCTCGCTTTTACCTGTCAAAGCGTTAATAGGCAATCATTTGCGTACTTTTTATTTATCTGTTATGTTTGTCATGCATTATGATATATGCGGTCGTTATTATGCCCGCTAGACCTAATAGCACGCTTGCAGAGTAACGTTACAAGGTACAGCATTATTTATGAATGTGCAACGATTACTATCTGCACTCCTGTCAATTGCATCAACAGGCGTGCACATAGTACTCCAGCATGAAAATGCGAGAAATGCGAGGCAGTCAGCGGCCGCCCTCGTGAGGTGTTTTAACGCGATAGCGTTGAACAGCTCGTCCCGCAAAAATTTCGGTGTCAATGTCATTGGTTGTGGGCGAAAAATCATCATTGCGTGACCAAAATATTGAGCATTTTCGCGTGACCTATAAATTAAGGAAATGCAAATAAAATAAAAAAAATGTGTGTGGAGATCGAACACGGATTGTTTGCGTAATAAGCGGGTGTTCTACCACACAGCCACGTCTCTGCTTGTGATTACAGGGAAATAACTTCCTCTGCTTGGAAATGCAGTGAAAGTAACTTTCATGCTTCACAAACACACGCGTCCTGTATACATGCTTGACAATAGAACATGAAATATTGCCGAAATAATGCGTCGTTCAAGCGTACATTGCCATCGGGCATCAAAACATGGGATTATCGTAATGACTTGTCGTTTAAAGCCAGTCCGTGACCCACTATACAAAAGTCACGCACACTACTGCACCCTTAAGGCCACGTAATGAGTGCATAGCGAGTACGAAAAGATTTCATACACGAAGTGTTTGAAGTATACACTAGAAACAGAATATCGTCATCGCGTTCAACTCTTAAAGATGAAGCTTAAGGGTCCCCCAAATTTTTTCTCGTCCAGTGTAAATACCGATGTTTTTGTTTTAATTTTTTATATCTAGCGAAGAAATGGAAGAAAATATTTGAGAAAAAAAGTGGTTCTTAAGGTCACTTTCACTTGAGTATAAGAAAAAAAAAACACCCAGAACTGAAGGCTCACGGCCCCTACCTGTTTAAAAATGACAGTTCGCTTTGCATGAGCTGGTTTTCAATTTTCATAATAAATGTCTTTGTATTGTAAAAGGAGGTGGCTGCCATATGCGAATGTGTCGAAACTAGCTTTCTTAATTAACACGTAGCAGCTACTGTACCTTCAGTTCTTTCGCACTTTGCAACTTGAGCAAGAAAAAGGTGACGGGCACTACACTTGGCGTGAGCATATCACTGTAGGCGATTTTCAACGCTTCGGCCGACCGCTCATATTGTCAAAACACGCGGAACTATTTATGAAATGACATATTCTGCGTACGATGATTGCAATCAAACCGTAACGCCATCGCGAAAAAAATGAAAAGATAGCGACAGTGTTTCATACGGTAGCACATTGCAATGTGAACTTCGATAGTGCACAGTTTCTTAAATACTTGAACAGGTAACGCTCAGTTCGTAAATATACATACTCGTCATCGTTTACTCGTCATCATTCATACTTGGCGAACGAGTTATCATGATTACAATTCATGTTAAAGTCTATAATACTTCAGCATGGCGAAAACAATATTCTTAACGAAAGAATTCGGTAGATGCGTCTGCGAAACAGCAATATACGTCATGTTTATGCTCCCCTGAATGTAGCAGCTCTCGTTTTTACACTGGCGTTACTTGTCGAGTAAACCCATAACGCAGAATAGAACTACATGAGTTTCGCTCCAGTGTAGCAGCTCAACTAACATATCCAATATCCTTGGTATTCGTTAATGACGTTAATACTATATAGTGAATTAGTGTACCCTATATATAGAACGAGAAAATACCGCATCGCTATATTGGGAGCCGCGAAAGAAAAATAAAGAGAAAAGAGCAATTCCAAACAATCCACTATCACCAAAACTTGCACTTGTGCGCCGGGTTCATAGGGTCATTTCGGCGGCAGCTGAACGCCCTGGCAAAATCGGGAATGTTCTGGAGCGGAACGTTGCACCGCAGCTCGCCAGACGAATATCCGTGGCCGGCCTCCCTGCGATTCGAACACCACTTGAAGCAGCTCATCACATAGAAGGCCTGGTCTTCGGTAAAGCGGCTCATGAGCGGCGCATCGCGGCTGGCGTTGGCGTTGCTCTTCTGGCGCAGCGAACGGTACGCCTTCTGGGCCTGCGCGAGACCCACGGAGTCTGCGATGTCCTCGGACATGACGGCCGCTGCGATCGTACGAGTTCAGTCCGAGTGGGAAGTACATGCGCTTGAGGCACCGCACGCGCTGCTCGTACTGTGTGCGGGCGTCCATGGTCCACCAGTCTCGCGAAAGGCCGTCCTTGGGTTCCCTGATGCTGTCGTCGTCGAAGCCGTGTACAATCTCGTGCGCAATGACGTGACCCAGACCCCCGAAGTTGACGCTGAGAGGGTACTTGGCGCTGTAAAAGGGGCTGTTGATGATGCCTGCCGGTATGATCATGGTGTTCGTTAGGGGCTGGTAGAAGGCATTCACGTCGGTCAACCGGAAGTCGTAGTCAAACGCTCGCGGCTTCCAAAGCCTATCCTTCCGGCTACGCATGGTCACGTACCATGCGCGCATGCGTGAGTCGAGGAACACTGCACTCGAGTCGGGCGTGTGCGCGTAGTACTCATCGAGGGCGTTGATGACCATGTCAGGGTAGGCAACGATGGTCCGCATCGTGTGCAGCTTAAGTATGGCGATGCTCCGCGTCGCGTTGTCCATCCACTTGCTTTTGAGGAAGGACTCCTTGAGCGCGTTCTTGACAACCAGGACCATGGTTAGCACGTCGTCGCGCGCCTTGACTGGAACGCTCTCCACGGCGAACGGGGCGCCGAATGCGTACGGCATCAACAGGTTGAGCTCTTCGAAGCAGCGGAAGAAGATGTAATTTCTGGCGTCCTTGACGTTCGCGAAGCTTGGCGTGACGAGCGACAACGATGCGAATGGTCCGAGGAACTGAATCACAAACCAGGCAACGTAAAGCAAAAGTTGTCCGTTACGCCTGCGCCTGTCGTCCAGGATGGTCTCGCTCACAACGCGGAGGTAAGCGATGTCAGTTACGCGGATTGTGTCAGAAGCCTTCAGAAGAGCAGCTTCGGGTAGATGCCTGTTTATAACATCTAGCCACTCGGAAGACAGGATGCCCGGTGTGTGATTTTCCATGTCCGCGATCTTTATCGTGTGCGTGACGTGAGCGGTCTCGGTGAGTGCTCCGAGCGAAGACATGATGTAGTTTTCGAAGAATATAAGCGCCTCCGCGTTGAACTGATAATCGACTATCTGTGAGCAGGTGACGACGTAGTTGTGCAAGGCCCAGCCTTCCATGCGGCTTCTGCGAAGGAACCAGTCCATAAGGTGGCGACTCCGGGAGAAGTACAGTGTCTGCATGCCGTCCATGATGGTGTCATGCTCGACGGACATCTGAAGGAAGACGGGTACATTCCAATCGAGTGCCAGACCAACCACGACGTCAAGCACATCGACAGTCTCAGGTCGTGGCGGGAGGAGATCGAGCGACCGCAAAAAGCTCTTGAGGCTGTCCGTATTGTCCACGCGATTCATGAACACCTGAACGCAGGTCTTGAACATCACTGCGGCCTTCTGCACAGCCGTTTGGCGCAACGATGGCGCATGGCCGACGCGCAACAAACTGTTGACGGCCGCGTGAGCCACCATGGCTTGAAGCTCGGAGAAAACGAATTCGTTGGGACCGTGACTCGACTTCCAGCCATCGCAGACGAAGTGGTAAAAGTTGTCGCACGGGCTCGCAGTGTAGTTGAGCGATCTGTACAGGCTCGTCGTGAAATCCCAGCATGAAGGATCCTCGCACGACGGGTATACATAAATGGAGTGCGCAGCCAACACCAATATGGTGACGAGGACGCTGATGCTGCATAGGCACGATATGCAGTGGAACCATGAGCAGTGGTATTGATAGGGAGACTGACGAACCAGAACCCGGGTCGACGGCATCCCATGCGGGCTCCGGTGTGCTGTCAGAACGCTGTAAGTCGGAGACTGGTTGGGAACCAAGCGCTCGTGTTCTGCGTGGGCTACGGTTGCTCGTGAGCCGAGGTTCCAAGTGACCGTGTGCAAATAGCGGGGATAAATCAGCGATGAAAAAAGAAGAATTTTATAACAATATCATACTTGTTTTGTAACGAGAATGACTTCTCTTTTGCAACACGACTGCATCCATTGTGAAACCTTTTTTCACCACACATCTAAGCAGTACTTTTTCGTTCCGCGTGGAAAAAAAGCACAGCATTTAGGATGAATGAAAAAGAAGACAACATGTAGGCTAGTACTAGATTTCGTGGTTAATCCCCTAGAGTGGGTATGTGCCAGTACATACAGCCAACAAACA